CCTTGCACCCTGGCCAGGATAGCGCGCATGGCGTGGTCTTTGTCCCTTCTTGATTGCAATGACGCAGTGATTTTGAACCAGGTGTCCGACAAATTCTTGCGTGCTGCAGTTTCTTCCCCGCAGGGTGCATCGTTGCCCTGCTATATCGATGTACTGTGCGCTTTTTCCAAAGCTTGGTGTCATCGACGAAAAGTTGCTGGCAGTGACAGCAGGCTTACCATGGACGCTGACTGGTTTGAGAGACTGGGATGTTTGCGCACTGGCATGGGCCTATCAAGTGCTGGATCCCAGTGAGCAGCACAAGTCCTTCCAGGTCAGGTTGTGTAAAGAAGTTTCACGGCGGAACTTGACACAAGCTCAGGTGGTTCGGAGCCAGCATGGCTACGAGGAGTGGGAGGCCTGCCAGGCGCCACACGAAGAGGGTGCTCTTTGAGCTCGGTGGCCCCGACATCTCCAGCTTTGGCATGGAACTAGTCAGAACATTTTTCCTTCAGCGGCACAGGCCTGCAAAGTTGGGAGGCCAGCTGGCACCCGCTTCCGAGTGCACGAGAAGTCCGGCCGCACCAAGCGGAGCTTGTGCAGTGTGGTCTTTGAACTTGAAGCAGGTTGCGATGCACCGAAGGTCTAAAAAGCGCTTGGTGGACGTTGCACTCAGTGCAACAAAGATGAAATCGAACCTGACCCCGTATGAAACTCATTGTCAATGTTTGTCTTTTTGGAGACAAGTGGAGGGTTGGGAAGGTTGGGACCCCACTCACACTGTTTTGTGGTGACATCGACCGTGTGTAGATCAGAATACATCGACATTGCCTATCACATCCAGAAGCCGTATCAGAGTCACCTGCAAACATTGGGAGGTTCTCCGCGTCCTGGATCTGAGGCTGGTTGGGTCCGATGGCAAGTCTTCGTCAAGAAGAGCCACCGAGAAATGTTGACACTTCGTTTTTGGTCATCTCCGTCTTGAGCCTCAACCCGCGCCCATATTGGATTACTTGGGAGAATTTTGCAAACTCTTTCCCTTAAATGTTGCAAGAATTTTGTGCCCAATTTTCTCCATCTATTCAATCACTATCAATTTCTTCCGTTCCTCGATAGTCCATGGCCTCAGCCAGGTGTAATGAGTTGGGCGCCGTCTCTGCGTGCGCCGTGGCGTCAGTAGCGCTAACAGCACTGAACCTGTTCGCGCACGCCAGCGCGCGCGCTGCGCGGTGGAAACGCGCTGGCAGGTACTGCATAGGGACCCTCTTGGCACATGGCAGCCAGTTGGTCTTCGTGCTGGCCTCAATTCGACCCACATTGATCTACTGATCTACCATGCTAATGTTTGTGTCCCAGAACCCTATACTACTGTTTGGGCGGGCGATAGCGAGGACTTCTTTTGGACCTTCTGGTTGCTCAATCGTTCTCTTTCGATATTTTTTTCAGTTGAACCTCTCCTGCAACCGCATCGGGGAGAAGGACAATGCGCCCTCCGGCATGCTTTCGAATCAAAGCGCTACTGAATTGGTGTCAGTGCAGATGTACCTAGAGGCATTACGAGGCGAATCCGATTCTCAACACTGGAACTCGCTGCCGCGAAGCCCTATTTTGCCAAGTTTGGTGCATTCCGGTGTGGGTCAGTACACACTACCAACTTTGCCAAAGCCTTGGGTGGTAAAGCTCTTGGAGGCTCCGGGGACACAAACCCAATACAAACCCAAGCTTCGCCAGGTGGATGGTGCCAAAGCCTTGGCAGAGGTGTGTTTTCGGCCGTGGTTTTCTGGTGCGGTCAATATAAAACAGTAGGTAGGTCCCTGTTTGGGAGGCTTAACATCACTTGGTGGAAAACAGTACCAGTAAATCCATCAAGAATAATAGTTCTACAGTCAGGTGGCCGGCCATCTTAGAGAATGTTGATTGGTGAGCAGAGAAAAAACAACACTCAAAAGTCCTCAGCGGAATGAGCAACTGTCGACAGGAGCCTCAGCGGAGTAATAACGACATCGTTTGGTACTCTCAGTTCCTTTTGGCTGCCCACCAAGCAGGACATCCATCGTTTGGTCCATGAAAAAACAAACTGGGCCACCAGAACAAGTCCGGCCCAAACAACGGCCATTCGCCAGGGCCTCCGCCACAACCGGCACTTGGAACACCTGGCCAGAGACTCGGGGAGAGGAAAGAATCACTCTTGGAAGAGCAGAACGACTTGAGCAAAATGATGAACAGATTCAAGACTTACTGTCCTTTTTGCGGAAGCACATGATTGCGTGCTTTTTTTCATCTTTAGGGCAAGCTATGTGGTCTGTGCAGCCGTTTTGGAGCACTGCTCTCGACAAAACATTTTGTCTCCAAAGGGTATGCCGGGTATTCCACACCTGGCAAGAATGAACACCGACTGGCTGGAATCCTGCCTAAGGACCTCAACCACAATGAGCTTTGTGGTCAGGCTGGTCTTGCGCTCTCGCCACTGGTTTGTGAGTAGTGGCAGTTTGCAGCCAGCCCGACGTTAAGAAGAACCTTTTTGGATGAATATCAGGGCTGGTGCGCAAAATCCAGTCTGTTCCCGTTTCGGAGGACTTAGTTGGATGGGCTCTGTTTGTTTCACTTTGCTGGATTTAGATCCCACAACCTCTCCCTCCCCAGGCGCTGACTTGTCTTGGTGAACCGCTGGGCCACAGCACCAAGCTGGTCTCCCTGCGGCTCTTCCACAACCACTGGCCGCTTGGGCCGGAACAAGCGTGATCACATGTGATGACCATTCTTCCTGCACGGAGGAGATCCATTGCATGGAGCCATCCGGTCTTTTGGGAATGACCGTGGCTGTACACGAGCGACGCCTTTCACGAGCGACGCCTTTCACGCTGATTCAGTGCCTCAACTTCGCGCGTTTCTGCGCTGAGGGATCAGCCATCCTCTTATCTCTTCCACTCCATTCTCCATGGGCGATCGAAAGGTGGATCCCTCAGAGTGCGGACACGCGGTGAAACACGAAAGGGAGGATCGAAAGGGTGTCCGAGTGAAGGGTTGTGGGGTAACCGCTAGTTCCCAGCTACGGTGGTAGCTGGATCCACTGGGATATAATTACGCTTGTTGACGGTTTGGCATGAAGATCACACCATATCACCCAGCAAAACCCAAGGATTCTTGGATCGGCTGGGCATGGACCTATAGACTTGCAAACTCTTCCAGCCTTGGGAGAAACGAACACCCTTTCACACAGAGGGCTTCGTCCAAACACAGCATGAACACTTTTGTTGATCCAATCAATCAGAGGATTTGTTCGCCCAAACTCAGGAGTGCCCCTGAAGGCAGATTTCAAAACCAGCGAGGTGCGGCGCGGCGGAGAGGGACACGCGAAGAAGGTAAAGGCGGTTCGGTTTCCACGTCAGGCGTACGACCTGCGCGGACTGGAGGCCGAGGCCGATGAATGACCTAATCCCTATAATGTCATGATATGTCATGTAGATGAAGTCCTCCCAAGTATGGAGATGTTTCTTCTATCCAAATGGGTTGGTTTTCACCAGTCAACATGAGTCTACACGCGATTGTGGACCTGTGGACCCGCGGGACGTCATGGTGGTGGAGTTGTTCCGTTCTCCAAGACCGCTGCACTTTCGTGTTTGAAAGACACCAACTCATGGAGCCCCAACATTTACGGGAATGCAATCATTTGCACTACTGACTACTGGTGCCCCCACACCACAAATTGACCCCGCAAGGTTTTTCTTTGTCCAGCCTTCTTGCTCCCTAGTTTCAATGTTGCGCTGGCATTTTTTATTTTCGCTCATGCAAGATTTGATTTATTTCGGCCAATCGACCCACCCTCCCACATGGGGGGCGCTTTGACAGTGACAAAGCTCAGGTTTTGAATCCTTCGTCCACCTGCACAGCTATTAAACCTTTGAATGGGACCAAGAACATCGTCCTATATGGAATGTCCTAGACAAATACACGGTTATTCTCTTCGGACCAAGACCCAAGACTCGTTTCTTCCCTCGCGACGTATTTTTTTCCTGGAGGTTGATCAGCAGATCCACATCTCAAAGGTCGAAGTGGTGCGGGCCCTGTGGGGATGGAGTCCAAGGGAGTCCATGGGAGTCCGAGGTTTTCGTTCGAGTTTTTTGAACACCGTACCGATGCAGATTGGCCACCGTGGGACACATCGATGTCCTTTTTGCCGAACGTACGTGAGGATCGATGAGCATTGTGAACAGCAAATGTTGTCTCACACTGTCTCACAAGGAGAATGGGGTAGACCAGATTCTGCCCGTCTCACAAGATCAAGTCTGTTTGCAGCAGGTCATAGAATCTTAAATCTCCTCAAGGTTGGCCATGACAACTGTGAAGAAACAATCGAATTCAGAAATGAAGAAATCCGAATAGATTTGCACTGCGAAGGTGTAGAATGGCAGGCGTCCGAGTCTCCAGATCAAGGAATTCAGCCATATTCAGCCTTGAGCGTGGCACTGTGAAAAGGTCAAGCACTGCTGTGCATCGGTTGAGCAGCACGCCGATGTTGGGACGCGTGCATTTCTGTTTGGAAACACCGATGGATCTGATTACTTGAAGGGAAACAACGGAAAGCGCTAGTTCCATTGGAACTTTGGATGGTCGGGCTTTTTCGCCATCTGAAACAGAGACCCGTCACTGGTTGAGGGCCAAATCGGCAGCCTCAGACAGCCTCAGACGGCCGCGCCCACGTCCCCCTCCGCAGCTGTTCGGCGTCACCAGCCGCGTCCCACGGCGCCACCGGTGGGCCGAAGAAAGGCTCCGGTGCCGGAGAGGTCGACGGCGGGGTGGTTTGGGAGATCTGGTGGTGAACCTGGGTGTTCAGTCGAGTCTTAGAGCTCCAGAAACCACCTACCTGTAGTGCCACTTTTCAGAAGGAACCGGCAGGTTTTCTTTTCGGATGGATCTCAGGTGTTTAGCACTTGTTTGCACCTCGCCCAGCCCTTTCTTTCTTCAGTGCTCAAAGTAGCGCAGCTTGCTGCGAAGCTCACGAAGACCGTGCTGCTGTGCCCATGTGGAGCCGTGCTGCACGGCTGCTTCCGGTAGCTTCGGTGCCCGTAGCCATTGCCTTGCATCGCAAGGTGGGAACTGGGAAGTGAGTCAGCGAACGCTCGTGCACTGGTGTTTCTTAAAGAGCACCTACCTACGGACCCCACGATATTGAATGGAGAAGGGCCACGAATACACCCCTGCAAAAAATGCCTTAGTCATCAGGAAAGCCCTTGAAAGCCATTGGTTGGACTCACACCTTGCTGAGCAAGACACAGCGTTGACATGACGTTTACATGTGCCTCAAGTTCACAGACAGAGAGAGAGAGAGAGAGAGACCGTCGAAGCACTTGAGAAATATTGGCTCAATCCTCCGGAGACGAAACACGAATGGTTTTTTGACTCATGCAAAAGATAGGACGACTGCTAGGACATATAACCAAACAATCACACATTTCGACAACCTATATACAACATTTTTGTGTGCGGCTTGTGGGCTGATTCTTTCTTATTGGCGGCCTTGCGATCCAATGTCGTTTACTGAGAGAATCTGCTGCTGTTCTGGAGAAGAGGGTCATAGCGAGTGGTGTTTTAAGACCCGGCTTGAGCAACTGCAGCAATCCCCACTGGATGAGGGCCAGGCTCCGGACTTTCCTCCAGACTCCAGCGGAACCGGCTCTGTGGCCGGCGATGCCCGGGAACCTCCGTCGCCGGTGGGGCTGTCCGCGGTGGCATATGCAGCTGTGAGCGAGACACTTCTCGATCGGTCGATGGAGGCCATGGAGACACTTAGGTGGAGGCCATCTCTATTAGGATCTATTTAAGTTGGTTACTATAAGGATCTATTTAGATTAGGATCTACTAGGATCTGTTTTTATCGCTCAGGAGGCCATCGCTAGTAGGTAAGAGGCCATGGCTATTCGGTTTTCATAAAGTCTTTATATTTGACATGTAAAAGGCCATCCAATCGGTGGACTTCGTGGACCTCGAGATTCTGCGTGGCACGACGCTGAGGGCCTCTTTGAGGGGATTGGGCAGACTGTGGCGATACAACCCCATCAACTTGAGCCCAGAAGAACGACAGGCCTTGTATCTCAAGTCCAAGCCAGTCAAGCGTTTGAATGTCTTTTTGTCACATACTTGGTGGACCAATGGAAGCTGGAAGGTGTTGTCTTTGCTTTTTCATTGTGGTTGGCTGCATGCTCTTTTGTGCTGGCTTTTCGTGGTAGCAGTGACCCTGCTGCTTTGTCTTTTGGGAGCCCTTCCCATGAGGCTCTCCTTCGAAACCCTAGGAACCAATTGTGTTCTGACCTGCCCCATGGGTTTTTGGATCCTTCTCCTGGGCTTTTTGGGGCCAGTCTTGGGCCTCTTCTCTGCCATCTACTGGCCAGATTGCAGCACAAAGCCAGACACCTGTTTCATTGATGTGGCCAGCATCCATCAAACAGATAAAGCGCAGATGAAGCGTGGCATTCTGGGCATTGGAGGCTTTTTATTGGTCTCGGACGAGCTCCGCATTCTGTGGAGCCCGCCATACCTCTCCAGGGCTTGGTGTGTCTTTGAGCTAGCCGTGTATCGCAAAGGGAATCCCCATGGACGGGTCAATCTCTCACCACTCTTCGTTGAGCAATATGTGGCCTTCACATTTCTCGGAGAGTATTTCACTGCTGTGGGCTATTGGGCGCTTCGTAGCAGGAGCTCACACATGGTGTCTTTGCTTCCAGCATTCTTAGTTGCTTCTGTTCCACTGCTGATTGCTGCACACCTGCTTCGTCTAAAGCTTAGTTGTTTCTTAATTGCATCTCCAAGATCATTTTGTTGCCACCTGGGTTTAGAGGACTTCATTCCCAGTTGAAGAAACGCAGAGCATATAGAAAAATATAGAACTCTATATAGTTACTCCCCCCTCACGACTAGTGGTAGGTCCTGGCAGGCGACTTTCGGGGCCCTTCTCTGCGAGGCATGAGGGGCCAGGTCAAGCAGATGCTGAGATCAGCCAGTGACTATGTCCACAGGCCGAGGACTCTAGGTATTTCCAGGTTGGGTGACCTTCAATAGGTGTGCCTTTTTATAGGGAGACCCCCAGCCAATGGTCTATTTCCCTTCTTCCAGGAGGCCTTTGGGAGGTCCCCCTATTTTGAAGTCATACCCAGTCCGCCCAAACCCAAGCAGCGGCTCGGTTTTTGGATTCGGCGCTGAGGTCGGAGCTTTTTGAGCAAGCACCAACTCTTAAAGCAATTTGAGCAATTTGACCTGGACACAGTGGATTGCTACGACAATGATGACCGGCGCTTTATCCACGCAGCGATCATTAAGTGGTATGGCAGCAAAGCAGCTTTCAATGAGTATGTGCGGGGACCTTTACGTGCAGAGCTCATGGGCCCCATTCTCAGCAACCATCTACCATTGTCCTATTTGATGATCTTGATTGTGCCTTACCTGAACATGTCACTGGAATTTCTCGTGGCGATGATTCGAGGAGGAAGCTCCTTTGAGTGCCTCTTGCCCTTCGCACTTGCAGTTCTTTTCAGCGCGAACTTCATCTTTTTGCCAGCATGCGTAGAGCTGCTCTTCTTGCTGTGTGACAAGTTTGCAGCCCCATGCTTTTCCAGCAATATCCTAGACTGTATGCAGACCCTCCTTATCCACTTGCTCTTCATGGTCTTTGCCGTGGGGGGGGCTCGGTGGCGCTACTGTGGCATACAGGAACGGTTTGTTGGCAGCGGTTTCGTGCTCCTTCATTTTCCTCCTGCTGCTGCTTGGTCTCCTCAAAGTCAAGCACAGTCGACGCAAGATCAAGGTACCTAGCAGCTCCCAATTAGCAGGAGAGTGACTGCCGAGAAGGCAGTTTTGACTCGGAGTTCCCGAAGGATTTCTCTGCGTCGCCGGTCAAAGGACCTTGGAACCGACGTTGCATGAGACTGCAGTTCCAACACCCAGCCAAAAGCTTGTGCTGGTGGCGGTTGGCTACTAGTAGCTTCTTGTTACTAGTACGTAGTAATGCTCTTGTTACTAGTAGCGATGCACTTGTGTTCGTAGTTCTTGTTACTACTAGTTTGTTTCCCTTTTGGTCCTTGCCAATTCATGGAAGTGTGGCCTAGTCCGTGGCGCTTGCAGAAGTGTTCCGCCCGTTCGCTCGTTTGATCTTAGAGATGTTGCGCCCCTCTGCCCGTGCAGGAAAGAACATCTCGACCCAGCTCCTGCCTTGAAGGGAAGGACGGGACGGAGCTGAGCAAGAAGGGCGAACGGGATGTGAACAGTATTCCAGATTTTACTCCCAAACAGCATAGACAATTTGTTTTCTCGATTCTTGTTATGCTTGCGAACATCGGAGGTGTGTTTGATTTTGTTCTCTCCACATTGGTCGTCGCAAAACCACCCAGCTGGATTCTGAAGAATATCCTCCATACTATAGTCTGGGGGAAAAGATGCAATTACACCAGGCAACCTGGTTGAAATTCAAGATTGCAACCAGGAATTTGACTGGAAGATCGGTTTTTGATCTTCAAAAATCTTCATTTGCAGGACAAAGATGCACAGTTCAAGCGCATCCTCGTGACCGGGGGTGCAGGCTTTTTAGGCGGGGAAGTGATCTTTTTGCTGGGTTCGTGGGGTGCCTTTCTCCAGAGACAAAGATAAGAACGGTTCTTTGCCCAATTCTTCCAGCGGACCTCCGCTTGTGTTCAGTCTCGTGAAGAAAGGGAGTGGCAACAGTTTGTATTATCTTGTATCTGCAATTGCCCGACCTGGATTTCACAGTTCCAGACACAAGGCCATTTCAGCGCTCCCTGGACATTTGTTTAAGTTCAATTAAGATCCATGTGTATATATATATATATGTGTGTGTGTGAGTGTTTTTGTACAGTTAGTTGGGTGCCAAACCGCCCAAATCATGGGGAACCCCTTGGTTCCATGTGTCAAACCTGCGTCCCTCTGCGGTGGCCCGGTCCGGCCGCACCTCGGCGAGGCTCCCACATCTGCCGGCGGCTCCTGGCCGAGGGCCACGAGGTGATGTGCTTGGACAACTTCTTCACCTCCACGCGTTCCGGCGCGGCCGAGAAGTGAACCGGGGGAAACGGAGGGAAACCGAGCGCTGGCCGGGCTGGCCCGCTTTTGGGCTGGATTTGGGGGGATGGAAAGGAGGTCGGGGGAGAGGTTTTTCGTGGAAGAGTGGGTGAAAAACGACAGATCATGAGGATCTAATGGGTTTGAGAGTTTTTTGCCCTGTTGAGAGTTGTCTATTTTTTGTTTTGTTCACTGGGGGAGGAGTCAACCCATGGAGGTTTGAGGTTTTCACATCTTGTGGAGTTCCTTCAGATTATTTAGAGACCACTTCGATCTTGCCAAGTCAAGACATGCGAGAGTTTGAAGATATGGCTTTGCATGAGAATGGCTTTCGACGACATGGGCAGACGGTCGAACCAACTTTGGCTCCTGTGGGTCGAACGTCGAACGAACGGGGAGGTCGGGTCGACCTATCCCTTGGCACCACAGACATCCACAGACCTGTCAGTGTCCACGGTCCGGTCATGCCCCGCTGTCCGCATGGCCCACCCTGAGCCTCGGGAGGCATTGCGGATTTGATGGGCCATCCTCGCTTCGAGTTCATCCGCCACGATGTCACGGAGCCCTTCTATTGCGAATGCGTGGCCTGGGGAGAAAAGAAGCATCATGATGTATTATATATATATACTGTATGACTGTTTGTATGTTACTGTATATATATATATATGTATAATACTTTTTCGAGCCCTAGTACAAAATAGAGGTCACTCAGGTTAGTTCTAGATTCTAGGATGTTATAGGTCTACATACATATTATACTGTAACATTCGAAGGATTCCTTTTGGCCATATTGTGGAGGGAAGGGCAGAGGGGTTGCGAATCCTTTGACGCCTTCCATTTTCGGACCCATCTCGCAAGAAGGCGACGAAGGCATTCTTCTCATTTCCCTGCTCTCGTGGAGCTTTGTTTCCAGGTTCCTTAGTGGTCCAAGTTCTTTACAGGTTCTTAGTGGTCCAAGGCGGTTCCTGACAGTATATATTAGATGATGATGATATGCCACCTGTTGGAGTCTGTGCCACTGTGCGACTCAAAGCCGTTGGAGGCTCCGAGTCGATGGCCTGAGGATATGGTCTACAACATGGCCTGTCCAGCCTCACCGGTCCACTATCAATGGAATCCCATTAAGACCACGAAGGCGGCAGAGTCAGTCTTGGTGCGTCTCAGACAAGCCTTGAGACCCAGTTTACTTTATTTGGTCGAAGTCGAAGTGTTGATAGCCAAGTGACTGCTCATTCGATGCAAGAGACTTCGAAACAATTCATCCATAGATGGGCCATGGAAGAAGTGGACATGAATGATCCGCCACCACACATGGTGTTCTTCTTTCAGAAGACAAGGAGTTCACCCATGGCTTCAGAGCTCTCCCAAGTTTTGGAATGATTTTGCGAGTCATGGACACCCTTGGTTCTTGATTGTTTGCCATCGAATTCAAGCATTCCAATAGACAATTCCATGTTTGGGACCATTGTGGTCCTTCCGTCTCGCTCCCACGGCCGTCATGCGAGAGTTCGTGCTCAAGCAAAGAACACCGCCCCCCTAACCCCGAAATTCGGGAGTGGATCCAGTTGTAGCAAGAAGCTACTAGTATCTAAGGGCATCGCTACTAGTAGCTAGAAGCTACTAGTAGTCTCTTTGGCTGGGTGAACCAGGAGGAGGATCCAGTCGCCGCTTCGCATCTCCTCCCACCACGTTTCTCTGCGGAGAAACATGTGCCACAGCTTCGTTGGGAGGTGAAAAACGAACACACTTCGCAGGTCTCGCGGAAGAACGCACTTCGCAGGTCTCCGTGTTGGGCACGATCAACATGATGGGCTTGGCCAAGAGAGTGAAAGCACGGATATTGCAAGCCTCGACGAGCGAAATCTATGGAGATCCCGAGGCTCTCGAGGGCTGAGATCCGGTGGAGAAGGGCAGGTCACCGCCGACCCCCCTGGACCCCACAAGGGTGACGGGTTCCACAGAGTGAGATGCGGCTGAGCTCGGAGCTTGATGATTCCCTCCATCTTGGATGCCTGGCATGTCCACAAAAAGAGGTGTTAGACACATTGGACACCCAACGTTCTTCTCTTTCCGGTGATCGGATCGCCTTCAACCATCGGATCCGATGTCCCCCGATGAACCGACTTCGGTGACCGACGAATGAAATGGGAGCCCTTTTGGTACCTTTCGGGTCTCCGTCCTTGGCGAAAACGCTGAGAGGTGGTAGCGAACCGGCGAGTCACATGGGCGGAGACGCCGCATCCCACACGCGTCTGCCGCAGGATGGGATGCCGCAGGCCACACGACGACCTAGGTCAAACCTCAGAGTCCAGGGGTATGAAATAAAGCAAGGCATGTTTAACCAGCTCAACACCTAGAATTCGATGTTCCAAAAGACTCCAAAGCGACCATCGAGTAACCGACGAAGCCGGCGCCTCTGCAGACGTGAATCATCCTGCAACAGCCTGAGAACCTCTACGAGTGGAAGGTGATCACACAACACTAGGGGTAACCCATTTGTGATCTGAAATCCAGCTTGTCTTAACATAGTAGTTACACGGATGATCACGCACGGACGTCTGCTTCCGCTTTCCCTCCAGCGATTTATTTTCGTTGGACAAGGCAGGTTCATCGCTGGAGGCCCTGCTAAGTATTCAGGAAGCCATCAGGCTCTCAAGCCTGAAGAAAGCACAGCACGTGCAATGAGCCATGGCCAGTGCACCTGTTGGATGATGCTGGATGGTGATGGTTGTAATATGAATCCGCACTGGTCACCCGCAACATTTGCGGGTGTCTCCGTCTCCATGGATTCCAGAGACCGCTGTGGCCCCAGGTTGAAGTGCACCGTTTGCTGTTGAAGTGCACCACCCCCGCCCATGCCAGGTGACTCCACAAAGTGAAGAGTACTGGGGTCACGTGAACACCATCGGTGTGAGGCCGCATGACATGAAGTCGTCTTGAAACGGGATAGGGCTTATGGGGATGGAGGGTGAAGCGAGGACACATTCATTTTCCTGCCTGTTGGGCGATCGATTTCCCTCATGGTCGCTGGAAACTTGGGTTGAAGCTAGGACAACTAGGTTTTGATGAATCAAACAAAAGGGGCAGCAATAGGACTGCCCCGGCTCATTGGGCTGAGGGACCGTATTGAGAATGACCGCAAGAAAGCGGTGTTTCCATTTGTGGAAAATGGAACTCGTGTGAATGGACCATCAGGGTTTGCCCGAGAGCGGGGTATATATATATAT